GTCAACCAAGCAAACTCTAGTAGCCACCTCATCAAACCACTCAGAGATAATAGCTCTACATGAGGCGGTTCGCGAGTGTATATGGTTAAGAACTATCATTACACATATTCGCGGGGCTAGTGGTTTGAGATCAACCACTGAAGAACCCACATGCATTTACGAAGATAATGCTGCTTGCATCGAGCAAATGAAACTTGGATTTATCAAAGGTGATAACACCAAACATATTTCTCCCAAATTTTTCTATAATCAACAACAAACTCTCCTCAAGATCCAAGTAAATCAAATAAGATCTGAGGAGAATGTGGCAGATTTATTCACCAAATCATTACCTAAAGCCACATTTGAGAAACATGTTAAAAATATTGGAATGCGTAGACTTCCGGATCTTCCTTGATCATGTACACTTCAGGGGGAGATTTGAATATTCAAAGGTCTAGCTTTTATTTTATGTTACACTCTTTTCCTTAAACCAAGGTTTATTTTTCCCATTGGGTTTTGTTACTTGGTAAGGTTTTTAATGAGGTAACAATATGCATGAACATAGCAATCGAAGTAAGGATTGGTATTCTTTCCTTTGTTCAAGATTTTTATTCACAGGATTTTGACACTTGACGAGATTTTGACAAGAGATCAGGATTCTGCAATTCTACCTACAGCTCAGCACAAGGGGGAGTGTTGAAACAATTTGTAAATTAGTGTGTTGTTGTGTAAATAGAATTTACTTTATATTGTGTAATAAGTTGTACTGGCCCGTGGGCCTTCTCTTGTAAAACCCTACGAAGCTCTTCCCTATATAAGGGAGCTATTATCAATAGAGAAATACACATCTCCCACAACAAGATCTAAAATATGGATTATTCGGGTTCTAGTGTTCTACAAAATGCTCTAAAGTTGCCACAAAAAAGTTTGCTAAGAGAATCCTATGCTTCAAAACGGCTCAATGGCAACGGTAGCAAAATTTGAAAAATAATCCTAAATATAAACATGAGAATCTCCTCCAGACTTGAATTATGCATAGTCGTCAATGCATATATATGATATGAAAATAAGCAACAATGATATATCCAAAATAATAAGCCAAGAGAGAAGGGGATGAGGAGTAATGCAACAAAAGTAAAGGAGAAAGGATGGGAAGTCAAATGCAAATTTAAAAAAAAGTATATGAGGCACCAATTCATCACTTTCCCTTCCTTATTGTGCTTGTATCCTAAAATCTGCAAAGAGAAGGCTAAGATCAAGTATTTTAGCGTTGAAGAATAAAAAAATCTGATTTCAAATATGTAGATTTTTTTCTAATTTTGAACATATAAGCCGTGAAAAGTGTAGAATTTTGATTCTGCATTAAAAAAACAACTTACAAAGTGCATATTTTTCAGTTTATAGCCCAAAAATCCAACGCCCGGGCACTTTGAGTTGCCGTTTCAAATCAGATTTTGCATCTTATGATGCTGATTTTACTCCAAACAGATTTGCTTCCACCTATGACTTAACAAATCTTGGAAAAAGCTCTCAAAGTAGATGGTTAGAAGCACAATTTACAAATAAACAATTAAACTCATGAACATAACTTTTTTTTTCAATTTTTTTTGCGTTTTTCAAAAACTAAATGAAAGAGAAAAAGGAAAAAAAAACTAATCCTATAATTACAACAAGTACTATTACATCAATATAGGAAAAAAGTAAGAAAAGTAAGTTGGTTATTAAAAGAAAAAAAAAGAAAATCAAATTAACAGCCACAAGGGGAAAAAATTAAGTACAACAACAAGAAGTTAAAGTTAGAAGTAAGCATAAGAATTCAAAGAAAAATTAAAAGAATGCTATAAAAGTGGGTCATGTTAAAAAAATTCAAAAGGAAAAATGCAATCAACAACTATAAGAGAAGAAGAAAAAAAGTACAACAACGACTAGAAGTAAAAAGTCAAAAGAACTTATTAAAAATTTGTTGAAGACTTGTCGTGCGGTCCAAAACAAATTAAAAATTTATAAAACTCCTTAGCTAACCCCCAATATATAATCAAATAAAAACTATAGCTAGGGCAAATAAGGTCGATTCCACGAAGAAAGTTTGTATTTTTTTTGAAATCAAATTAGCATGCAAACACGTTGTCACTAAATAAAACAAACTAAATACAACACATGATAAGACGTATAAAACTTATAATAAAACGTAAATAAACAAACAACTTATAATATAGCTTCAAACACTAAACACATACTAAAATATACTAAAGAATAAACTAAAAAGAACTTATTAAAAATAAATAAATAAATATTACCTCCGTCCCAGAGTATTTGCCCACTTTCATTTTTGCACACCATCCAATACTCTTCTTTAATCCATTTTATCTTGTAATTTGTATATTTAAAAATTATAGAAATTATATATTAATAATCTATATGTTAAGACAAATCAAACAAGATCACACATGACTATATTTAGGCTTATACATTGAGAGAATTTGATGAGTCAAAGTGCTTAGATGAACAGTTCCAAAAGCCAAAAGTGGACGAGTATAGCGGGACGGAGGGAGTAAATAAAAACACTTAAAAAAAAAGTAAATGGGTTATCTCCCATAAGTCGCCCGATTTAACGTCTTTGGTTAGACAAAACTTACTACTTGCAAACAAATATTCATTTAACCATGTAAGATAAGTGCCATGAGTTTCTTTAAAACATGCAAAAAGATAAAAATAAGATAAGCATTAGTACTCTGATTTCAGCTTTGGTTGACAATTTCTACACCAAGATCGTCACTGGATGCTCAATTAAGAACCTAAAATCAAATCCTAAGTGCACATTTAAACTAGAAATCATATTTCAGGAAATTTGGTCTCTATTCACTCCCAAGCAGTGAAAACAAAAACAAAAGCAGATTGTAAAAAACATGCTGCTCCAGAATATGTTTCTATGCAAGCTTTAAACTATCAAAGTTCAAATATCAACAAAGAAGCAGCTAAAGAACTTATAATCAACATTCAAATCAGTAAATCATTGCAGATTTTTCAAAAGAATGAACACTTTAGATCAGATTTTTAGGAAATTCAGCCTCTTAAACTTAAAATTCAGCATGTAAACATCATGGTATGCTTGTAAATGTTGTCCCTGAACAAGATATATCAATGATAGTTCATATTTCAGTGGTGGCCTTTGTATCTTGGCTTATATGTGCAAAATTAGAAAAAAATTATCAGCTCTCTCCTCTTCTTCTTGGGCAGTGGTGGCCTATGTATCTCGGTCAGGTGAACCATGTTCTTCTATTTCTTCTGGGAGAATACCAAATCTCCTCGTGTATTACCTCCCATGATGAATCGACACCCCAAATACCGTCGATTCTGCCTTTCATCTTCATCTAGATCTTTGCAGTCTCTTCCCAAATGCCTTCATCCGTCCGCCTGTCCTTCCCCATTTGTGATCACGGCAGCAGCAGCAACTGGTCTTCTCCATATCCTATTTCCCGGCGTTTGTCGCTCCGCCCAAGGCGGTGGTCCCCTGGCTATCAACTGATCCATCTCCTTTAGCGTAACGCACTCCAACGTATTGTGGGTGCTGTTACGGTGGTACTCGCAATATTTTGGAGCGCCTTGGATGCTATAGCTTTTCCGACCACGGGAGGGGCTGGTAGGGTTTGGGCCGCGTGGACTAGCGACCTGCTCGCCTGGTAACCTATAGGATTTAGGCCCCTCCCAAAATCCTTCCTTTTCCTGCCATGCCATCGCCTGCTGGCTGAACACTCTTCTTCTCCTTCTGGGCAGGTGCCTCATCGTCCTCTTCTTCCAGTGCTAGGTACCTAGCCCAATCCAACATCTCGTGGTATGTAGGAAGCAGGTTCCATCGAAGCTCCTTGCGCACATCCCCTGCGGGGAGTGTCGCTTGGAGCATGGCGATCAAAGCCTGAGCATTCGCTCCTTGGACGTCTTTAGCCTCCTTCTCCCACCAAGTGATGAAATCCTGGAGTTGCTACCCCTTTCGAATCATGATGTTGACCAGGTGGGAGTAGGGGAGCTTTTGCCTCCAGCTTCACACAAAATGTTCCAAAAACTTGTGGGCTAAGTCCTTCCACTCATCGATCGATCCCCTTGGCAGCTTGTGAAACCACTCCTTGTCCTTCCAAGGTTGCCAAGAAACAGCGGCACTAAATCTCCTCCGGGTCCGCTTACATGACCACATTCGCCTGAAAGCGAGCCAGCCAGATGATCCTGGGGATCGGTCGTCCCATTATACGCCTTGATATGAGGGATCTTAAAATTTTCGGGGAGAGGGCACGACATTACCCTCTTCGAGAAGGGGGTTACTTCATCAAAAACTGCCTGGCGATAAGGATTTCGGGCGTCTAACCATTTTTCAAGTCGGTTGATTGTCTTCCACAGCTTGACCGTGTCTTTGTCCACGATCGCCTTTTGCCTTCCTTCCGAGTGGGCCTTGGACGTCGTTGAGGACTCCTCCCATCGTTCCTTGAGCTTTTCCCTCAGGTCCCCTTTCTAGGCTCACCAGTTATCATGCGGTCGGGTGAACACGGAGGTCCGTGGTTTCTTCTATTTGCGGCCTCCTAGCCGATCGAAAGCCGATCGAAAGCGGAAGCCTGCTCGAACAAGGACGACTTTCCTTCCTCGTCCAACCTTGGCGCCTTCCATTAGGCTTATTTGCTTTCTTCTTCTAAGAGTGCCTGGTCTTTTTCTTCTTCTTTCCCTCAGAACCCGCAGGTCCGGCCTTCCCCCGAACCTGCGCCCCTGTGACATCGTCCATCACGATTTTCTGGTTTGGGGCCAGGGCCACCACCACCTCCTTGAACTGATCAGACGTGATCCCGATCCGCTACATGAGAGCTTCGGCCTCCGTCACGCTGATAGGGAGGTGGTGACCCTTGGTGGCGCTAGTTTCCCTTTGAGGAGGATTTCTGGTGGGCTAATTAGCATTACTGCGGGTTTGCACCATTGTTCTTCGGAAGGTTTCTTCTTGAGCGAATTTCTTGAGCTCTCAACAAGAGCACCAATTTGATGGACAAGAATTCCACCAAATAATCCGACTTGACAGGTGGATCGTAAAAACAATTTAGAAACGAGAACCCGAGAATTATGAAATTACACCCTAGGTTTTGCTTGGGGTTCTCCGTTCGGATCCTCTCTATTTATACATATCCCTTTACATAATTACGGTAACTATTGATTATGGAAACTAATTCCTGTGATTTGCGCGATCCTATTCTTCCGGCTCTCTTCCCGCAACCTAGCCGCGCCCTCCTTCGCAGCAGATGGACTCCCCAAGGCTCTTCGGTTTGGGCCGGCCTGAGGCCAACTCCAAACACCTGCGGGTACCCGAACGCGCTTGGACACATAGTTTGGGTTGCACGGAAGGTAACGACCCATAAAAGTGATACGAACTTGCCTGATCGCAGTAATTTTTTTTGCTGATGCCGATAAGCTGACTGATCGGATTTGGGTTCGCTGGCTCTGATCGCAGTTCGCTTAATGGACTCTCTGTTTTCCAGTGCGTTACAGAACAGAGGAGGATGAATGCCTATTGAATTGGAAGAGAGAGAGATTTGGAATTTTGAGAAAGTTAAATTATTGTTAGTATTTAGTCATCGTGGAGTCGCTCGCAGTTTTTTTGCTCTATTGCATTCTTCTTTTTGTTGGCCCTTGCTGGAGAGGCACGTGAATGGCGTGATTGGTTGGGAATGGGGCCCCACCAACTACCCACAAGTTTATTCTAATGAAAAGAAGGGATGCTCGTATGTCAAGTTTAACTGGTCCAAGAAAAAGATGTCTAGTCCATTGATCTTAGGGTCGAAGCTCGGTACCGGTAGTGAATGAGTATGAGTGAAAATTCTCCCTGTAAAGTATGGATTTGTAGTCCATTAAGCTATCTAGCTATCTTATACGTCACATAGACTCCCCCGAGCTATGAGTATGAGTCCCCACTTTGTTTGATCAATCACATGTACAAGTATGAGTCAAGTACAAGAAACAAGTTAATCAGACAATGAATATTTTAGTAAATTAAATAATAATAATAATAATAATGATAACAATTAAACATGTAGTAGGAGTTTTTAATTGCATAATCAGATTCATATGTAGTGCGATGAGTTAATTAGTTACACAAGAATTTCTGGTACATTGCATCCCATAACCCAGAATTTCTAGACTTGGTTTAATTTGTTTTAGTTTTATTATTATAATTAATTATTATGTCCCCATTTTAAATTTTAAGACGCAGAAAGGCCAACCAACCTAGAGGCGGTCGGGGTTGATTTGGTGTAAAGGACGACAAGATCTTTAAAAAATTTGAAATAGAAGAGTTGCCGATTGCCATGGAAAGCGGCGGAAACTCCTATTGTGAATGCCAACTCCAAGATTCGGATTTTGATCTGTTCAATCTCGTCAATTGTCCTATCTAAACCCGTATGTCTTGTAAATTAAAAGTAGTTTCGGGCCAGATGAGTGTTATTTGATTTAGCAGAACTCTAACTCTGAGGATGGTCGTTGGTGAGGGAATCCCACCCAGTGGCACATATTGAGGCAGAGAACTGATGGCCTGAGTGACAAAATCAAGGGGAGGAAGCAATTTCCGCAGAACAATCTTTTCGAAAGATTGTTCTGCGGAAAATGCTTCCTCCACGTGATTTTGTCAATCAGGTCATCAGTTCTCTACCTCAATATGTGCCACTCGGTGTGATTCCCTCACCAACAACCATCTTCACAGTCAGAGTTCTACTAAATCAAATAACACTTATTCTACTAAATCAAATAACACTTATCTGGCCCGAAACTACTTTTACAAGACATACGGGTTTAGATATGACAATTGACGAGATTGCGCTGATCAAAATGCAAATTTTGGAGTTGGCATTCACAATAGGAGTTTTCGTCGCTTTCCATGGCAGCCGTCACCTCTTCTATTTCAAATCCTTTAAAGATCTTGTCGCCCTTTACACGAAATCAACGCCGACCGCCTCTAGGTCGGTTGGCCTTTTTGCTTCTCAAATTCTGAAATGGGGACATAATAATTAATTATAATAATAAAACTAAAACAAATTGAACCCAATCTAGAAATCCTGGGTTATGGAATGCAATGAACCAGATATTCTTGTGTAACTAATTAACTCATCGCAGTACATATAAATCTGATTTTACAATTAAAAACTCCTATTGCATGCTTAATTATTATTATTATTATTTAATTTACTGAAATATTCATTGTCTGATTAACTTGTTTCTTGTACTTGACTCATACTTGTACATGTGATTGATCCAACAGCGTGGGGACTCATACTCATAGCTGGGGGGAAGTCTATGTGTCGTATAAAATAGCTTAAATGGACTACAAATTCATATTTAAGTGTCCATTTATGAAGGCCTGGTCGTTCCTGCCACTGTAAAGTTTAAATTCTCCGGATCGGGTCCGCGATAAATCAGAGACAAAAATAAACTCACGAAAAACGTCAATTTCAACGAAAATAAGTGTTGAGATATTGAGACAACTGTATTATTCAAGAGATAATAGAGTACATGGTAGAATATATAGAAGGGGAATACAACCCCAACTAGAACTAAGAAACAAGAATAGTAGCTGACTAAAACATAAAGACTGTCATAACTAATACTACAATAATTAGAATTAATATTATTGTCTAACATCCCCCTCAAGCGGAACTCTGGCTGAAGCAAGAAGAAGCTTAGACACTAGCTGGAAACTGGAAACTTTGAGAAGAGAGAAGTCTAACGTGCACCGGTGGATGCTGACATCGTTAGAGAAGAGAGAAGTCTGACGTGCGCCGGTGGCTGCTGACTTTGTTGGAGGAGAGAGACGTCTGACGTGCGCTGGTGGTTGCTGACATTGTTGGAGAAGAGAGAAAGGGCTGACGTGCACTTGTAGCTGCTGACGTCGAAGAAGAACGGAGAAGGCTATTAGAGGTGCATGTTTGATTGAAGATTCTTGACATTCTTTGTCTTTTTCTTGGATCCTGACAATGCCCTATTTTTTTATTGAAGGGATGAATTGTAGAGGTATTCTTTCCTCTTTCACTACTTCCCCTTTTGACTTTGCTTTTGTGTTGATTTTCTTGGGATTTTTTTTGTTAACAAAACAGAAAGAGAAGGGAGATTAATGGTTAGAATGAGTGATTTGAGAGATAAAAAGGTAGATTAAGAATTGGTGATGGAAAAAAGATTAGGTCTGAGATTTTGTTATAGTGAATTGGAGAGACAACTATCATTATTTTTCTTGATTTTGAAAAGATACGAAGATGAGTTGGGAGAGTTTTTGAGGAGTTGCCGATCCAGAAAATTGAAGACATCGGCTCGAGGGTAAATGAGATTCGGGCTTATACGGTTGAGCGGTTGTGGATTTTGAGGGCATGTTTCCCTTCGACGGTTTTTTTAGAAGAACCGGGGTGACGACAAGAGTGAAGCTCCTCCTTTGACGGCTTTTTTGTGAGTTTAACACGGGAATTTTTTTCTTTTTTTCTTTGAATGAAGAAGTTAATTTGAAGATAAAAGAAGGAAAAGAAAATAGAGGTGAATAAGCTGGAGCCGTCGTCACTGGAATTACCGGCGGCGGTGGAAGCAAAGAACTTTTTTAGGTCACCAAGAGCGTTGACTCTGATACCATGTTGAGATATTGAGACAAATGTATTATTCAAGAGATAATGGAGTACATGGTAGAATATATAGAAGGGGAATACAATCCCCACTAGGATTAGGAAAGAAGAATAGTAACTGACTAAAACATAAAGACTGTCATAACAAATACTACAATAATTAGGATTAATATTATTGTCTAACACTAAGCATTAAAATTTTAAAACTGAAATCTTTCGAAATTAATGCAAAATTGATTGATACACGACCCGACTGAAGTTATTTTTCAAAGATAAAATCATATATGGGCCCTAGGAAGTCCATATAATAAACATTGATTTCACATCTAAAAATTGAATTAATCTGTATTACGGTAAAGATTTTTTTTTCTGTTTTATGAATTTGTATGTATGAGAAGATTAATGATGCACCGCAGCATCGTCTACTCTAGAATTGCTCAAATTAGGGAGTATTTGATAAAATAAAAATTAAAGAGTAAAATATACTTTGAGAAAAAATTGAATATTTGAAAAATAAGTAAAAGAATTTAAAAAATAAGAGATGACTCGACAATTTTATTTTATCAAATTATAATGAGGGTCCGTTTGGTACACGAAATTATAATGAGGGTCCGTTTGGTACACGGAATTGAATTGAGAGTTGAAATTCTATGGAATTGAATTCTTCAATTCCAATTCATTTTTTGGCACTACAAATTCCAAATCCACATAATTTTGTGCTACCAAACAGAATTAGAATTGCTCTCCCTAATTCCAATTTCATAGTTTGAATTCTGTGTACCAAACGGAGCCTGAAAGTAATTTTTCTGTGAGTTTTCATCGATTTTAGAAAATCAAATTGAATTAGTTTATTCATTATATTATGAGCATGAAAATGAGCATTTTTTCAGTGTTAATGACATATGGTGAGTCAATATTCTAGCTTTTTAGTGATACTCCAGATATTTTAAGAAATGTAATTAATTTGTTAAGAATTTCACAAATTAAAAAATTAAAAAATACTCCGTCCTTTATAAAAAAAAGGCCTAAAGCAGATAAATTAAAAAGAAGAACAAAAACAAAATCGATGAGGAATCTAAGATCAAATTGAAGATCAAAAGAACAGACGGTGAACAAATGAAAAAAAAAGCAACTAAAACCTTTTGAGCAATCAATGAAGAACTGACCATTTCCTCTTCTGAAAATCAGGAGTTTCACCAATCACAATTCAAGTAAGTATCCCCAATATAATTCAGCACGAAAAGTAATGACATTTGAAAAGGAGCAAATAAACGATCGACGCCGATGGAGAAGGAAATCAATCAATCAAGCAATCAGTGATTCAATCAATCAATCGAAACCTCCACCATGATTCAACGAAGCAGATAACAGAAATACATAGAAGGAGATCGATAGAAGAAGACGAAGAAGAAGAAGAAAGCGGAAGGTATTAAGTGATACGAACTTGCCTGATCGGAGTGCTTTTTGTTTTGCCGATGCCGATCATCTGATTGATCGGATTAGGGTTCGTCGGCTCTGATCGCAGTTCGCTTTACGGAGTCTCTGTTTTCCAGTGCGTTACAGAACAGAGGAGAAGGATGAATGCCTATTGAATCGGAAGAGAGAGAGAGAGAGAGAGAGAGAGAGAGAGACAAGCCCAAATACTCTTTGGTTCATTATTGAAGCCCAATTCTTTTGTTAGTCAAATGCTCTAAATCCCTAATCAGTGAACTCATTCGTCTACATTCTTTAAAACCAAGGGTTTTAAAATTTCAAAACGGAGTATTTTGATTTCACTTTTTAAGTGTTGATTTTGATTTTCATAAGGGTCCATTTGGTATAAGGAATTGATGGACTTGGAATTGAATTGGAATTAAAATTCCATGGGATTCAATTCCATAGAATTGAATTCACCAATTCCAATTCATTTTTTGCACTACCAATTCCAAATCCACATAATTTTTGTACTACCAAACACAAGAATTAGAATTGAAGTCCTCAATTCCAATTCCATAGTTTGAATTCCGTGTACCAAACGGGGCCTAATTGTATTTCTTCATTTCAAGTTTGAATGAACAATTCGAATATCATGTTTTTAATTGAATAACGATGGCTGTCGCTATTCTACTCTATAATTTACAATGGAGTGTATACTTTGATGCTTGTTTTAGTTTCTGAGGGAGATGCTGGTTTTAGAATTGATTTGGGAGAAGTTCAAAAAAAAACAAGAAATCCGATCTAAAGTAGGGTAAACCCAGAGCGAACCAGAAAAAATAGCTCCGGACCGGTCGGGATCGGCTACAAACAGGTTCGGTCTTCATTCCAAGCAAAAACATGATTTCGGTTCCAGTCCAAACCGATTCCAGTTCCGGTCCGGTCTAGTTTTAGACTGGTGCATACCTCTAATTGCCGGTCCTTCTCTTCTACCTTGCACACCTCGAATGCCCTTGTATTCGTATTTGCAGTTATCTAACATTCGAATCAAAATATATTTTTATATTTGAAATACGGAGTATTCAAACTCTAATCTTCGTATTTGAATACATATCACAGATCGGATTAAAATTATATCAATTATTTCGCTTAATTTACACGCCTAAGTAGCACGAAACAATTAAACGAAATAGTATTTGAGATGCGTTGGAAAAATAATTTTAATTGGATAGGTGAAAATATTTATTTTAAAAAAAAATTAAAATATTTAGGCAGAAGCTGCTGATGTCACCTTCTTCCCTAAGCAGCCTTATTGATTTTACACAGTCAAAGGTATTGAGCTTTCGTCTTCATCATATGCTTGTTCATCACTTGTGAGATTTGAGCTCTTCAACTCTCTTTTCAGTGTCCTTCAATGCTTTCCCATAGATGCTGATCAACTGAAATGACATTATGTGTGCACCGTGTCACGACGCATAAAATCTATAGTCACACCAACTTTGACGCTAAAGTTTGACACCATTTGTTTCACTGACAGATTATGAGTCAAAATTGACATACTTTGGTGTCAAAACTTTGGTGTCCTCGTGAGGATGCAATTATGCACTTAGGTTACACCTATGATGTTTGACTTTGTAGAATGGAATTTTGCCCATGAACTAGTGGTGGTCTTGAGGGCGTCGGATAGGTCCAAACGCACAGGTCCCCAAAACTCGCTATGGACCGTAGTTATTCTATTGATGCATGGTACATACCAAATATTCAGTTAATATTCCAAACTCATTTCAATATGTGTTGCTTATGCTCTATTTTTATAATAAAAAAAGTGTGTAATATATTCTTTCTTTAAATTGTCAACTTTTCTTTGAATTTGTAACTATTTCCTTCATTGCAAAAATAGATGTCTTAATTCCAAATATTGATATCGTAAGGTTAACATCATATCAAACTAATATGAGTGTGCTAAAAAAACTTTTCTAAAGCCCTAACTTTAGATAATTTTTTGCATAGGGACTTCGAAAATTTTGGACCGGCCCTGCCCGGAGCTTTGATGTGAGCCCCACATGAAAGAAATGCCAAAATACGTGGGCACGAGAGAACCCCAATTCTTAACACTAAACAAGTTTTAACATGATAAAAGAGTTGGTCCTTAGCTGAGATTATTGTAAGAAAAGAATATGTACCTTGTCAACTTCTTCGGGAGTTATTATAAATGGAGGAGACATCATTATGAGGTCACCGGCTACACGGACGAGCATCCCATGCTTCTCACACTGAGCTCCAAAATAAGCGCCAACACCTAAGAGGACATTTGGAAAGCCAAAATTACAAATAATAACAACAACCCAGTATAAGGGTTAAAGAAGACTAAAGTAGAAGTAAAACATAGAAAATATACCAAAATAGGAGTTCCATGTTTTTATTCCTAAAATAGGAGTTAAAATGCATATACAATGCCAATCATGCCAATATATAATACGAAAAAGTATAACGAAATGTAGATATATAGAGTCATATTATCACAATACAAACTTCTATTTTGGGGATTTAAGCATGAACTCCTGTTTTGGTACTTTCTCTATGTTTTACTCCTATTTAGAGTGATTTCTTATGTACTACTTAGTCTTATCCCTATAAAAACAGAGAGGTTGTTTCCGTTAGACCTTATATGCATTGCTGCATTTATTGCTACGCAAAACATCTAAGAGAGTATGAACCAAAGGAAGTTTAAAGTGCTTTTTTAAATTTAGTCTATTCTACTCATGAAACTAAAACCTCGTTAATGATGACTCTTTTAGCTCCGTTAGCAATGGATGAAAACGGAAAGGGGCAGGAAAGTAATTACCCCATTCAGGAGGGAAAGGTTCGTTCGGAGACTTGTTGTCTGTAAACTCTGTCCCAAGGATCAAGCCAAGTCCCCGAATCTGCAAATTTAGAAGAGCGTGGCAAATAGAATGATAACAATTAATGATCTAATCTATGTACTATGGACTATATGTGTGTGTGTGTGTGTGTGTGTGTGTGTGTGTGTGTGTGTGTCATGGAAAGCATCATAAGGCCGTAATGTACCTCTCCTATGATAGGACTGTCGGAAAATGCTTTTATACCTTCTTGGAATTTCGGAGCTATTCTGTTAACCTGATCAACAATATTTCTCTCCCTGGAAAAAAAACATTTAGCAACGTCACCTGCTAACTTATTACGAATTCAAATCGTATTTCATTACTCTGTCCGTTTTTTTTCCAAGTGTTTCTTAATGTGTATGCAATTTGCGCACACACCAAGCAATAAAATTCTCCGAAATCAAGATAAAAGTAGTGTGATACGAAAAACTAGTAGACCCATAATAATGTTTTGAAGTACCATTAGCATTTATGGATGTATAAACGTAATGGTCGAAAAATGATCCATTAACACTTTCTTGGTATTCTAAAGCAACAGCTAAAAGAGAAGAGTAAGAGTAGGTAATAAGCACACTTGTAGATCTTTAGTGCCTCCAACGCGACAGCACATGCCACCGGGTGCCCAGAATACGTAAAACCATGGGAAAAAGAACCTGGCAAAACATCATTATTTTTGTACGGAATCGCAGCAATTATATACTCCGTGGGTGTGTCCGATAAAAAGACTTCTATTTGAAAACTTATTTTTGTCACAACAAGATACTCCCTCCGCCTCAATTTAAATTGCATGTAAACTATTCACAGAGTCAAACTTTAACTACGTTCTTTACCCATTTGATAAAATAATATATTCCTATCACCTCTTGTTTCGTAGATCATTTGATATAGTTTTTAAATATGTAAATTTTATTTTTTAATTCCACACCAGTTTTCAAATAAATTGCGTTGAAAATAATTTCAGTCAAACCTCGTAAACAACAACATGCGATTTAAATTGGGGCGAAGGGAGTACCTTTTTTGAGTAGACACAAAAAGACATATTCGAACCAAAAAACTAATCTGTATCGTATTTAAACATTTTTTAAACAAGTGTCCCAAACAACTAAAACATTTTGAGTGTTAAATTTAGCTAAACAAACAACTTAATCTAAAGAACAGTTCTCTTTAATGATTTCCATCAAAATTTAAAATATGTACCTTTGCAAAAAGAGACTCTTTTATGGGATGTTAGGAATATTATAGAGGCTGAATGTTAAATACTCTGAAATTGACATAAGGATAGGGTACCTAATTTACTGCTTTGCGAATGGATGACGTCGCTGATTTCAGGGCTCACTAGGACAGCCCCAAGTGGCATATAAGCAGAAGAGACAGCCTGGAAATTTAGTGGAAAGTGTTTGTTGAAGCATAGGTTGTAAGAATTCTGCTTTACTGTTATTGACTGATGATTTGATGTACCTTAGCTATGGAAACGAGATCGGGTTTAATGTTATATCTGTCACATCCAAACATTGTCCCCAGCCTACCAAATGCACATATCACCTCGTCCGCAATGAAAAGAATGTCATACTTTTTAACTACAGCTTGAATCTGTGAGCAAGGATGATGAGTGCATGAATTTTAGTCGAACCATGCGGCAGATGACATAAAAAGAATGTGAAAGGAATACAAGGAATCAACTCAACCAAAAGCTCAAGCTTGTGGTTGTGGCCCAGGAAAGGTTTTTATACTNGTGGAAAATTTAAAAAAGCATATTACCCACAAAATAATTTCCTAAAAAAGAATGAGATTATTATGAGACACCCAAATAAAGTAGGTGGGAACCATAAATTAGGGCGGAGGAAATAATAAAATAAAACACATCTAAAAGTCACATTACGATTTTGCACGAGCGATGAATTTTTTCTTGTTTGGCCTACCAAGTGCATTGTTATAATACCAGACCAACTTCACCTGCAAGTAACAAAATAATCTATTTTTCTTAGTGGGGTGTTCCACCTAATAGAAATAAATACAGCTAAGAATAAAATAAAGGGCAGCCCGGATCCCCTAGCTGGGGTCAGGGAAGGGCAGATACACATAGCCCTACCCCAGAGAGATTGTTTCCATATTTTGAATCTGTGACCTCGAGATCACAAAGGCTCACCCCCTTACATGGCAACCTCATTGTTGTTGCACCAAAGCTAACCCACTAACTAAAGCTAAAAATATACGGTTCAAATAGAAATTATGTGCAAATAACCCAGCAATTGTACTTTCTATTAAGTGTATACTGAAAGCGTAGTTCACCAAGGAAACTAAGCGATGCCAATGCGACCATATGCATATGAGACATAAACCATTGTTTGGATGGGGGGTTTTGAATGAGAGTGAAGGGGAGAAGCGATATTACTTTTTATTAATTTATTCTTACATTAGACTGTTGTAAAGAAAGCGAACATGAAAAGTTATACAGAATTACATTGTTTAGCCGAAGATATGATTAATTTTAAATCTAAAGATGATAGAGATAAATTAGTAACACAAAAACCAATCCTCCCTTTCACTCTTCAAATCCCCTATCCAAACGAGCCCCAAGAGTTAAGAAATAAGTACCATATGATTATCTCATAGTCAGTAGCAAACCTGTGTGTCATTTGCTTCTGATCCACTATTGGTGAAAAATGCTTTTGCCATTTTCTTTGCAGTAAATGTCTCCAGAAGTTCCTTGGCAAGGTCCTGTATGGCTCGAGAAGTTCACATATGCTAGATTTTATCAGCAAGCAATGACTGCAGGCATATATTTGATAGAAGATTGAACATACCAAAGACGGCCTTGTTGTACGATTCCAAAATGAGTGATAAAATGGCAACGTATTCAGCTGCTTTGTAGCAGCATCAACAAGGCGGGGTTCGCTGCCCCCTGAAATTCCATAGAATTATATCACCTTAAGTGAAGAAAACCCATGTAGTAGAGAATAAATGGTAAAACCACACCATTCAATGAAGGAAAAATAAAGGTAAAATCCAAAAGTTGATTTTGGCTTTTTATGAAGCGTGAACAAGAATTCCATCAAATACAGTGGGGATAGTTGTACGTTATTTCCATCAAATACAGTGGAAAAGGTTCCATTCTCAACAGCTTTAGTATTAAATTACTCCCTCCATCCAGAAAAAAGAAAACTTCACGCTTCCCTTATTTGGTTGTTTCAAAATAAACTTCACGCTTCTCTCATTTCTTTTTATGGAAAGGAATATGTGGCTCACACCATTTCTCTCTTCTAAGTTCTAAACCAATTTTATCCACGTGTCTTTCACTTTTCAACACTTTTCTTTAACTTCATTAAGTAAAAAATGAAGTTATTTATGAGACTAAGGGAGTAGAAATTATCAGGTAATTTACTATCAATGACGAAAACCAAGTCATTAATTGACACCATAAATTTCATGTCATGGACACCAAACTAGTTGGGATTGATTAAGGTGATGGGGATAATGATGATGAACGGAAGTGATAAAAATTAGCAACCAATATATTCATTTGAGACCATAAACAAACAATGCATATACTTCACTAGATAAACAATTGAATATAGAAGTCTCAAAATGGTGGTTTTACCTAAAGCTGTGCACCATAAACCAGCAAGAGCATCAAGATATTTCTTCCCATTTACATCATATACATAGGAACCCTGTCGAAAACACCAAAGAAAAATGGTTTATCATGTAGACACAAAATCTTCTCTGTGATGAGATCATTTGATTCTTTAAGAGCCTTATTGGATGGAGAGATCTGGAAAGGAAGACTTAAGAGGGCTTAATCTATATCTTGATAATAAAAAATGAATGTTTCTAAAAAAGATTGAAAAGTTATTGAAATGGTATACAATCACATATCATGTAAATCTTTCTATTTTTATTAGATCCCAAATATACATCAAGATATAGACTAAGCTCTCCATCCAAACAGACCCTAAATGGAGAAACCGGATGAACATCCACACCTCAGACTTTTCAATTACTAAGGGATCCTGACCAGTGGTCTGGCACCCAGCAGTAAAGGGTGCTAACATATCATGACCCTTGAATCTGAGAACATGAAAACTCATTGGTCAATAAGAAACAAATTGTTATCTATAAAAAAACATTATATGTATATGCAGTCCAGAAAAAAATCGTATACGGTCACAGATAATGTTTTGTAAAACAAATAGTTTATACGCGACCCAGAAAAGGCCTTGATCATAAGACAAAAATGGCTACCAAACATCCACTAAATAAATGTACTCACAGAAAGTATATATAGAGAACATTGGCACAAATATGGACATATTATATTACCCTTTGCCATCAGATGCCTCTGTACTACTCCATCTAGCTGGAGAATGGCCATGAATAATAGATCCATGCAAACCATTAGCCCCAGGAAGATACTTTACATAGGAGCCAGCCTGCAAGAGAGATCAGATGAGTACGAAAATAGTGGCGGCACACCAGAAAACGAACACTAATGCAATCTCCACGAGTGTTATGTATAAACTTAAGTCATTTCCCTAAATAGAACTTAAACAGAACCAAATCTGTTTTTCTTGTCTGTCTACTGAAAAGAATTTGGTTTTTGTTTTCTTCCATTCCACGCATGTAATTGTAAATTTAAAGTCCAACCTCAATAGTCCATGCATCCACTACGTGGCCTGCCTTTCCTCCTCATCCCCTCATTCAAACAAAGTTTCTACATTCCAAACAAGCATACCCCGAAATGAATGCTGCATATGCGTAACAGTACAATGGCTTCGTTTCGGAATAATGCTTGTGACTAGTGGTACTATTTCCTATGATTTTTTTTAATGACACAGATTAACTTTGAAAATACTAAAACTAAAAGCTAGAATTGGATAACATCTTCGAATAAGTATACTCCCTCCGTCCAAGTTTGTTCTTCTCATACATACGCTATTCACAGGGTCACTCTCACTACTTATTTCATAAAATAATATAGTCATGTCACCTCTTGTATGTATTTTTTTACTACCTACATTGTATTTTTTTATATTTTTATACCTACAATCAAATAAATTGAATTGAAAAAAATGCGTAATGGGAAGGAAGGAGCCTATATTAGAAAAAAAACCAGAAATGCCAAGAATTAAAGCCCCCCAACAATATTCTAACACAGAATTTGATTGGGAAATAAGCCAATCGAAATATACCAAACGCATCAAACAAATGCTGAATACAAACAAACATACTCCGCATTTATTATTATAATTATTTTTTCAACAAATTAAAAAAATTGAGAAAAAAAATGAAACCTTGTAGGAAGCTGTCTTAAGGGTGCATCCGAGAAGGCGATTGATCATGGCGACTGGTTCTCCGTCTTCCTCGCTCGTTCCCTTCGTTTCAAATCCAAATCTTTATGAAAACCCAGAAACAATAATCAGCGGGGAGATTAAGAAATGAATGCACTTTCCTTCAATAGTTCAATGGATGATATTTAATGCGGAGTTTAAGAATGGACGAGAGGTGATTGAGCTGGCGGGGCTACACGCCTATAAATTGCTTGGGAGAAGATAATGATCCGCACGGCTGGGAAAAGGTGGCAATTTGCGCATGATTGGTTTCATAAGTCAGAACCCGCTTTTTCCCATTTTTCTAATCCTCCTTTCACTCATTTTTATTAAGAGTTAAATGCACAAATAGTTCATTGGTCAAAAAAATTGATGTATAATTAGTTCCTTCAACGTAAGCACACATAACATAGACGTATTGTGTGAAAATGCGAATCATTTAACAAAAAAAAATTTATCTCATAAAATTATCTCGTCTTCGTGGTTAAAGACAATTAATGGTTTTTTTCTAATTTAGTTCTCCTTGAATTTACTTTAGAATAAAGCTCTAAAAACATAACAATGTTGAGCTCATATAAGACATTGTACTACGATTCAAAAATATCACTATAGAAGAGATGAAATTTTAGATTAACTTTTTTACTGTTACATGATTGACGTCTTTGCATAATACACGCGTGTTGTATATATTTTACAAATTTTCTAATATACAGACTAATTATACTATGGTTGTTTGACCACATGAATATTTTGACAACTTTTAAAAGTTCGAAAACTATTTATGTAACACCCCAATTCGTATAATCCGGAATTATTGGAATTAAGGTGAAACGGAAACAATATTTTTAAAACTTTCCCAAATCATTAAATAAATTCATAAAACAAAACTTCAAATACAAAATAAAAAATTTGGATCGAACTCAAAGCTTCGAATGCAATGCTTGTGAAAATCACGCATGTCAACCTGCCATCCTATAATCTCTTCGTCCTCCGAGTGGTTCACATAATCTGTGCTTCAACCTTCGTGTAGAGAAAAAGATTACACGCTCAGCATAAAGCTGAGTGATACGATAACGCGAGAGATTGATAACATATTTATACTTAAATACCATGCATCACATTGGTCACATAATTTTCATGCTTGCATAGTAGTTAGCACAGGATACAAGATACACGTATACATATCATGGAGATTCATTTTGGAATATTATCTAAATATAAATACCTTGGCCTTGTCGTCGACGATGTTGGATATGAAGTGCGGTACGTTTTGCAATACCACATACAAATTGATAATTAAAATCTGCATAATTATTTACAAATGATGCAATGCCAAATGATTCATGATGCATGAGTTAGACTACGCACGACCCCTGCCCTTCGGTGATTATCCCCACGCGGTGATGAGCCGAGGAAACCTTAGTCTCCGAAAAGAGCCTAGAAACTGTGGGTGGTAACTGAATGCCTAGTTACCATGTACGTACACAAGTCCTCCTAATGAAACCCGTTGGACCCCAAAGGCTCCTTGACAGGCCTGCGAAAGAGACGCACTAGGCCTGACATCTTAACGCAGTATGCAATGGTATGCCATGATCCTACAACATGCGTTTAGGATGCACATGATGATATGAATGGTATACTACCTTTAGATTTAACTGAGCATGCTTGACTTATGATCCCGAAGACTTATTTTGAAAGCTAAGTCTCGGTTTTTAATTCATATTTCAATTATTGATTCTTACCTTGAAAGCACTTTGATTGTGGATCTTTCTAAAAGTTCAGCAGCCCCTGATAATCGATTATCACTTGGTGATAATCAATTATCAAAGTCCAGCATGTTCAGCAGCCCCACGACATCTTCCTTATTTTCTCCTTATTAAATATGATTGTATTTTTACCCGTTGTATTCTGCATTTCCCTTTTAATGAATAAAAGTTTACTTTTAATTCTTTTTGTTAATGTCAAAAGGGGGAAGATATAAAGGTTATGCATAGATTGAGGGGGAACTTTTTCTAAAACTAACTCTTATTCAACACATAAACTTTGTTGAAAA